ATAGAGGAGGTTCAAGGAAAAGAAGTTGGGTATGGGATCATTATACGACCTTGCCTACTAAATACAGATCAAAAGGCTGTGGACAGCAAAAATGTACAACAATGGCGACACTCAAATACGAATTTATAAGAATTCTCTATTCAATGTTACGTATAAAAATTTGTAATTTATTCATGCCAAAATATTAATGCATCATCATTACTAATCGAAGTATCAGATAGTTTAATAGATATCCCAAAAAATTCTCTAATCAAAGTTATATGTTACGTACAAATGTCGTATCTAAAGTTACTATCTACGACATAAATATATCATTTATTCAATAGTTATCCGGCTATCTGCAGAAATATTTTCGTTATCCGGATATCTAATAGAAAATCCACCGGATTTTTTGAACGGATCCAAGCACTAAGAACAAATAAAATTACAAATTTTTGACGCTAAAGATTACAAACCTCTGACAAGCTTCTATGAACTTTAATTCACATTAAACTTTCATATAATTTTGTTCACAAAATGGGTGACGTTAAATTTCTTGAAAGCTTCTCTAATCATTTTGCCAAACTTCTCGAAAGTGAATATAATTACGATGTCATCATAGAAATTGGAAAACATCCAAATGAGCAGCTTTTTAAATCTCATAAATTAATTTTGTATCAACGTTCATCATTCTTTCGTGAGAAATTGGAAACAGTGACTAAAAAGGATAATATTATTAAAATTACCTTACCTCATATTTCTGTTGATACGTTCAAAATTGTTATAAGGTATATATATATATATATATAATTATTGTAATTAGGTGAGCGTTTAATTATAAAGGAATATAATAAACAAAAATTTTTTCTTTTTTTGTTTAGATATATTTATACTGGCATTATTTCGTTCGAAGAAGTTGAAACCTCCACTATATTTGATCTCTTGATTTCTTCTAACGAGTTGGGTTTTGATGAACTCGTTAAATATCTTCAAAATTATCTAATTGATAATAACTCTTCTTGGCTTCGGTTAAATTTTATTAGAGTTTATAATATCAGTTTTAAAATTGATAATTTTAAGTTCTTACAAAACTTTTATACCGACATCCTTGCTAAACATCCCAACTTGATTTTCGATTCTAATAACTTTAATTCTGTTCAAGAAAATGCATTGATAACTCTTTTAAAGCGAGATGATTTACAATCTGAAGAATCTATAATTTGGGATAATGTCATTCAGTGGGGAAAAGCACAAACCCCAAATTTACCACTTGAACTCAAACGGTGGACCGACGAAAATTTCTTGGCTTTAAAATCCACTCTTCATAATTGTCTTCCTTTAGTTCGGTATTTCCAAATTCCTGGGAAAGATATCATAGAAAAGGTCAAACCATATAGACAGATTCTGGAACCTGATTTATGGGAGAATATTACTGAAAGATTTATCTCTCCTGATACGCCAGTCAACTCAATTATTTTACCAGCCCGTAAAAAGATTCCTGTTAAACTTCCTTATCGATTATTTCCTTCTATTTCTTCTTTGGAGTTATTTGAACCTTCAAATTTTAACATTGAAACAATCGGAACAACTGAAACCATCAAAACGGCAGAAATCATCGAAGCAACGCCTGTTCATAAGAACTATTCGGTTTTTTCCATTGGATCATCATCTAATATTCTTTACAAGAAACATGTACTAGAGATTTCATCTTGGATTGATCGTCAACCTCAACCTTATACTTTTGGAGACAATCCTTACGAACTCAATTTACTTCTTAGAGGAAGTGTTGTTGGATTTAGTTCTAAACATTTTCATACATTTTGCGATAATATACCTGGTACAGTGATTGTCATGAAAATTCTTGGGACAGGTGAAATAATTGGTGGATACAATCCATTAGTTTGGCCATCTGATGATTCGTTTAAATGGTTAAGTACAGAAGATAGTTTCATTTTTACTTTAAGAAACCAAAAATTATCAACTTCCATTATTAGTAGAGTTAATAATGTTAATATGGCAATTGGGTGTTCTAGTTCACATGGTCCATATTTTGGTAATAATTTTTATAAGATTACCGCCAAAAAATCAAAGAAATGGTTTTATAATGATAATGGTAATTATTCTATTCCAATCAGAGCAAATCATGAAAGTTTTACAGTAGTTGATTATGAAGTATTTCAAGTTCTTAACAAGTACAATGAAACCTCCATAAATTAATGCTCTGGGAGCTAGGAGACCCAAGATGATGAGATTTGTTGATAATTTCATATTGTGCGAAATTTATGTGAGGAACCAATATACACATTTCTGTATTTCGTATTGTTATAATTCTGATCTATCATTGTTAATGTGATAATTATACATATGCTTTTATTGTTCTTTTAAAATTCCCGCACAAATGCCGCATAAATCTCGTAAAAACAATAAAAATTA